GAACTCAGCAGCAAAGTCCGGTGAATCCCACGTACTTTTTGTGGCTTCCTGTCACGGGCCTTTGACTGCGAACCCTGATAAGCTGACCACGTTCTTACATAACTTTCGACTGGGCCGTCAAGATGGAGGATTTAGTGGCTTGCCTGCTCTACTCCTTCTCGACCAGATATTCCATCGAATAATTATTGACCTTGGAAAGGATATCAAGCCATGCGAGTACTTCGACATGATAGTAGGCACGGGGCCAGGGGGGTCTGTATCTATTTCACCCTTTGTGTCTCTTATTCTGACATCCCTCCTTTCAAGACTTGTCGCCCTGTTACTTGGAAGGATGGAAATGACGGTGGAGGATGCGATTAGTGCCTGCAATGAGCTCGAGGGTTGCATGCCACAAAGGGGTCAAAGCGTCACCGAGGAGGAGCGGGTGGAGAACACCGTGGGACTCAGGCGGGGCTTGGAAACCCTGATGAGTGCTCATGGCTTGGGTACCTCTGAGCTGATGCAACGACATACGGGGAATGAACCTCGTTGCAGAACGTGAGTACTGGTTTAGTGGCCCCTCTCTTTGTGATGGCTTATCCCGTCCAGCGTCATCTGCACTAGTAACGGCTCCCAGATCCACTTGATCAAGTCCTATGAGAATCGAGGAGTGAAAAGTCCACGCTGTGGTATTATCGAGGCTGGGCTCGCTGCCGTCGCAGCGAGCGATACCTTTCCACCAGTCACCATCAGTAAAGCATACAGACTCAACGTCGGGGATGCCTCTTCCATGTGCCCTAATCCCTCTATTGAGGCGATCAAAGAGGCCACAAAGGTCTTTGGCCTCGAAAAGAAGGTTGCAAGCATCCTCAGCATTGGAGGGGAACTTGCTACATCTCATGTCATCCCTGTCTCGGATAGCGAGAAACTCAGAACGATATTCTCGCAAGCAAATTGCACGCACGATCATATCCAAAGCTATCTACCCGATTCGAAGTTCTATACACGTCTGATGGCAAAGCACAAATGTCTCTTCGGAAGTCAGGACACCGAAAACTACTGCGACATGGCTGCCTATGTGCAGGAGAAAGCCATCCATAGACTGATTGATGATTCGATCAAAGTGTGGGGTCCAAAACTGGCACGATCTCTATCTGAACTCCGTATGCACCTTTCCATTCTATTATACCCTGATATTCACCTCCCCTACAGAGCCTATTCATCAGAAGGATTGGAGAGAGAGCCAAGTCGAGATCAAAGCAAGCCCATCTCAATCATTCTCGGCTTTGCGAGCGGATGATGCTATGAAAATCGACACCCCTACCGTTCTCAAATTTGAGGACCGCCCAGAATCGGAGATACTCTCAGAAACTGAGGTTTCTTTAGAGGAAGAAATAAAAAAATTGGATCGATTGCGACAAACTCCTGACACAGATAAGGAGATCTTGTCATCTCTGAGCAGAGTAGCCACCCTCTCTCATCGTTTAGGCAAGCATAAAGATGCTATCCAGTACGAGATGATGGTGATGATGCAGCATCGCGGAGATGAAAGTAAACCAGAAACTCGCGAATACCTCCAGAGTGCTAGCGCCGTGGCCTTTTACGAGTCGGAGGCTGGGGAGCTCAAAAAGGCTTGTGAGCGAGGAGAAGAGGTCTTGAAGAAGCAAAAGGAGTTATTTGGAGAGCAGGACATCGATGCCTTG